ATTTCTGTATTTTCAAATTTATTAAGTAGTGAAACATTAGTGGATGTTACACTAGCAGCAGAAGGCAGACATCTTCAAGCTCATAAAGTTGTACTGTCAGCATGCAGTACATACTTCCAATCGTTATTCACAGTTAATCCATGTCAACATCCAATCGTTATACTCAAAGATGTTAAATTTTCCGATCTCAAAATCATGGTAGATTTTATGTATTATGGAGAAGTTAACATTTCTCAAGATCAATTACCATCRATTATTAAAGTAAGTATCAATAGCAATTATGAAATGTTTTAACACTTATTGATAATAGTGAGATATTATTTTGATATTTTCTTATAGACTGCAGAAAGTTTGAAGATCAAAGGTCTTGCTGAAATGCATATAGCTTCATTAACTAAAAGGCCAAGTAGTAGTAGTGAACAAGGAGCTGCAGATCGTGGAAAATCTTGTTCTCCTAGTCCATCTCCTCTTTCTCCATCATTCAGACGAAAAAGATTAAAAAAAACGTCAACAGGATCCACATCTGGATCTGGTGATAAAACAGAAGAAATTAATGAGATTGCATTGGTTGCTACTGATATAGTTAAGTCAGAACCATTGATAGTATCGCCAGAAAGCGATGAAAATGTAAGGCAACCAATAAATACCAGTACAGAATTACAAGGAAGTATCGATGAGGATAAAATATCAATAGTAAGCGTACTGGTAAAAAGAACATTTTTTTTAAATAGTTAATAGGACCTATGGTTCTAATATAGATTCTTAATAATGTATTATAGATGAGTAATATGGAAAATAGTTCTACAACAATGCCAGCACAAAGTGATGGTACAATACAAAATGTGAATCAACAATCTAGTGGAAATGTACCACAAAGTTCTGTTTCTTCTCAACCACCAGCACATCAAGGTAAGATTAATATTAAAAATTCATGATTATTTTTTTTTAATTTTTTTTTAAATATACCAAAAGTATATATTTCAGGTTAATATTAAAAATAGAAAATAGCAGATTTTATTTAGATAGAATAGAAATARGTGTAAGAAGGAAAATTYAAATATTGARACTATTCTTTATTTCTTCATTCATTTATATATAATGCATGTATCGTAATATAGTTAATGATCACTTTCTAAATCCTATTGGAATTTAATATTTAGTATACTTTTTTATTTAAGAATATTTAGCACACAAAAAGATAAATTAATATGATTGTTCAAATTCTTKCTTTTATACAACATAATAAGAGAAAGGTATAAAGACGTATATATGATTAGGTCATAAAAAAATAATTTGATCAAGAAGACACGAAACAGTACTAACAAATGATTTCTCTCAAGTATATACATATAGGGACTGTTACTATTCTTTATACAATTCTTTAAATCTAACTATATATATATGCATGCTAATGAAACAGAAAATACGCATGGGAAAATTGATACTCGGAATCTTGTAAAAATACTTTTGCATATTACAGATTTTGTTAACATATGAAACCACTGATACATATTATAACTATTGTTATTGTTATTATTATTATTATTATTATTATTATTATTATTATTATTATTATTATTATTATTATTATTATATTATATTATATTATTATATTATTATTATATTATTATTGTTATTATAATACGTAAAGAAATTATTAGGCAATATAGTAAAACCTTGTTAGCTGTAATTAAAAGWAAGATTTTTCAGATTTAGTTTAAATATATTATCCTATTTGTACATAAATAGAGTCATATGCATATACGCAGACATATATATATATATATTGTTAATTTTTCTATATATGACTAATTTACTACAAACAATTATATGTAATAAAAATTCGATAAGATTTAAGATAATTTAAAGGTTGCATGTTGCTTGTATAAATTAWGTAAATAATTTGGTAACTTTTAATCTAGCGGATGCATATTGGTTGTGATGGGTACTATAAAAACTGCATGCGTTAATAAGTACTATTGATACACACATTATATGCTGGCACAGATGCGTTTAAATGTATTGCACACAAAAAAAAAATCAACAGGCGTTTGACATGATAATAGAGCGAAAGTAAAGGAAAAAAGATATAGAAATGATAATAAATTAAATTCAGTCTCACTCTCTCATTAAAATACTCTATCTCACCATGGTACACAGATACATAGCACACAATGTATATTTTGTGAAAGGACAGTAAATTGGGCCTTTGACATTGTTGAATGTGTATGTGTGCCTTGTTCTGTCCTATATATAAAATAGTCATACACTTTTTTATATGATATTTAAACGATGATGTGCTTAAAAATGTATCTGTGCCATGCCATAATATCATATTATAATATTTTCACATACATATTATTTTCTATGTACAATTTATCAAGTATTTGTTATTCTTTCTCTTGCTTACAGCTTAGCATTTTATTATTATTATTATTATTATTATTATTATTATTATTATTATTATTTCTTTTTTTTCTTTAGTACTGTTTTTAACTTTAACATAACAATTCCCGGGCTTACTGGGCCTCGTGTAAAGGTCCAGGGGCATGGGTGAGGCCAACCGGGCGCGTCTTCAGGTGGCGGATAGAAGGACGTCCAGGGAGTGAAGTGGTTTCTCGTGGCGGGGAGCGGAGCGTCAAGGACGACCGCGACCCCGGGCGCGGGGATCCTATGGAACCCCTGGATAGCGCAGGCTATAAGGAACCCGGCCGACGTAAAAATCGGCCCAGGGAACCGAAGGCCACGCCGCGGACCACTCCCCAAGCCAAGGTGGAAGCAATCGTGCCGATGGCTGGATGGCACTTGGGTAAAGTGTCGCAAACGATGCCCTTGGGGTACCGGGCAACCCCCCATTGTATTTTGCCTTATCACCGCAACAGGCTCTGTGGTGACGGACCGTTTATTTCCTGTCTACTCGTGGGACTTACATGGATGAAACTACCGAAAACTGCACAAAACAAATGCAAGCTGGCGTGGGGACTTCGCAAGAAGGACCCACACCAGTTCATACGGACGAGAGCGAAAGCGGATCGGATCCCTTGGAACTCATTACGACGAGGGCCCAGGATCTGACCGTCGAAAACTTGATCTCGAGCGTTAAGGAAGAGTATTCGCCGAAAGCTAGATCTACGGATTCAACGCCCAAGGCGTTCCATAAACCAAATCGGAGCGGGGCTGCGAAGAGGAGGGCACGCAATGCCAGATTGGCTTTGCAGGGCTCAGACTCCGAGCCGCACCGCGTAGATGAGGGGAGGGGAGAAGCCATTGGACAGGGCCCTACCAAGAGGCCCAGTCCTTCGGACAGCACCCCGCTGGAAAGACACACTATGGCTAAAAAGAACAAGTTCGCCACAAGGCCCACTGGCTACGCGGATGCCGCAGCTGGGGATAAGAAGCTGGCCATCGTGCCGGTTGATTACCCCGAAGTGGTTCTCGGCCAGGGGCAGGATGAACTGCTGGAGCGGGGACTCCTCAAAGCTCTGGACTCGATCCCAATGGATCAGGTAGTCCCACACTTCGAGGGGACCCGTTGCGGGCAGGGAATCCTGTGGGTGACCTGCTCGGACGACCAGGCAAAGGCATGGCTTAAGGCCATTGTCCCGAGCCTAAAACCCTGGAAGGGGGCTCAACTCCAGGTGCTGGAGGGGGAGCAACTCCCAAGGTTGAAGAAGATGACGGCTGTGTTCCCCAGCACGGACGAGAGCATGCCCATCGTCCTCAGAAGGCTACAGAGGCAGAACCCGGAACTCTCAGTCTCCTTGTGGAGGGTGTGGGGCCGGAGGTCTGTCCAGGGAAATATCCATGCCGTTCTAGGCGTGGATGTAGCCTCTCTAGGCCGTTTGAAAGAGCTAGGGTTTGCCCCTCACTTCGGTCTGGGCAGGGCTCGTTTCTACGAGGCCCTGGACAGGGCTGAGATGGGGGGACGGGGGGCTGGGCAGCTGCTCTTGAGATGACCAGGATTGATCAGTGGCGGACGTGCAGCGTGGGGGTCCGGTAGAGCCGACTGCGGCTACGGGGACCGCCGCTGCGCGTGGAGCCATCCCCAAGCTGACGCCGAAAGCGCGAGAGCTTGCCTGCGCGTCACAGGCGCCTATCGTCGCCGGGGGCGCGGTAGTGAGGAACCGTGCCGACGGAAAAGCAGGGGCGGGATGAGGGCCAGAGGCAGACCGCCTAAGGCCCTCGCCCTGCTCAAGACGGCCCGTAAGGAGACCCAGCGTGGAATCCAACGGACCATTGTTGGGTCCCCGATGGGGCCATCCACAACGCCCCAAGGGACCATAGCGGCCCCGAAGGCATCTGAGAGGCGGAAGGTCAAGGGCGATGGCTCGTAATGGAGCTTGTTGCCCTCCTCCCCTATCCCTACTTCCTTCATCGCCCATTTCCACTCCCCCTTCTTCCCTCCCTTTTCCTCCTCTTCCTCCTTCCTAAACCAAAACAGAGTGAGAAGGGCGCACGCGCCTCCACCTAGGGGGTCTGTGGGCCTCCAAATCTCACAAATTAACCTGCAACACTGAATAGCGGCCGGCCTCGGCTGTACTTAGCTAGGACATAGCAGTTGAGTAGACAGACACATTTCCCTTATACAAGAACCATGGGTCCACAGGGGACTCGTTAAAAGGATAGATCGCAGCATGGGAACACTGGTATATGACCTATGCAAACCCGGCCCAAGGGCATGTATCTTCGTATCCAAAAAAATGCACCATGATATGAAGCTAAGCAGATTCTGCAGCAGGGACCTTGCGGTGGCCTCGGTGAGGTTGAAGCTGAGAGGTGGACTGATCGACCTCGTCGTCTGCTCAGCGTACTTCCCATACGACACGGTCGAATACCCTCCTACTGAGGAGCTGAGAGCCGTGGTGGAACACTGCCACAGAGAAGGGCTGGACTTTGTGATCGGGTGCGACACTAACTCGCACCATGTCGCATGGGGCAGCTCGAATACTAATAAGAGAGGAACGGCTTTGATGGAATACCTCTCGTCGACGAATCTGGAGATCCTCAACAGGGGATCCAGGCCAACCTTTATCACCTCGAGGAGACAAGAGACTGGGCCCTATAAGAAGGACCTTGAAGGCAGGCTCGTAGGGATGAGTGGAGGACTGAGGACTGAGGGTCGAATCGAGGAACGGGTGAACTTGCTCTCCTCTTCCATCACTCAAGCCTTCGAAACGGCATGCTCTCTAAAGACACGGAAGAACAGGATGAGAGTTGCATGGTGGAGCAGGGAGTTGGACTCACTGCGCTCAAGTTCTCGCCACCTTCTGAACAAAGCCTTAACGACAAACGGCTATGAATATTGAGCTAATTATAGGATCAAACAGAGGACCTATAAGAGGTTCATCAAGAAATCGAAACTTGAGGCCTGGGGGAAATTCTGCTCGGGAATTAAGGCTCTTCCTTTAGTGGCCAAACATCGCAGGTCCTTGCAAACTGCCCACAACCAAGGCTTTGTGGACTCTCTCTCCTGAAAAGGGAGCAGCTTGAAAAACACGAAGACATTCTTGCCTACCTTTTGGAAGTGCACTTCCCGGGATCCAGACAGATCGAACAAAACCCCTCGGTTGGAGGGGAGCTCCGCGCCACGAGACCTGCTGACTGGACCACTGCCGCAGCGGTGGTCACGTATGACAGGATTCGTTGGGCTCTGGACTCGTTCGACGGATACAAGAGCCCAGGGCAGACGGACTCTTCCCTGCCCTTCTTCAGAATGGGGACGATGGGCTGGTTAAGCAACTGATGCGCGTCTTCAGATCGTGTCTCGCCCTGAGATATGTTTTTGACGAGGTCAAAATAGTCTTCATCCCAAAACCGAGAAAGAACAAATGTGACCAAGCCAAAGCTTTCAGGCCCATCAGCTTAACGTCTTTCTTGCTGAAAACGTTGGAGAGACTGGTTGATAGGTCCATAAGAGATAGAGCGCTGGCGAGAACGCCGGTGCAGCCATCGCAACACGCGTACACAGCGGGCAAGTCTGTCTGGAGACGGCTCTTCATGGCCTGAAAAGGGGTACTATGGCAAGCATATCTACATCTGTAGTGACAACCACACCGCGTTCAGACTTGTACACAGCACCGTGGTCAGGTCAGGGCTGGTCAAGGACTGTATCGACCTGTTGACACGGCTAGGTAGTGTCAACAGAGTAAAGTTGCTCTGGGTGTCGGGTCACAGCGGCGTTCAGGGCAACGAAAAGGCACATGAGCTTGCCAGACTTGGAGCTTCACGGCACGATTCGGCAAATCTGTGCCTTGTCAGCATTACATGGGAGATTTTGCGGGGGAAGACTGCGAAGTGGGCCACGGACCGCTTCAAAGAACTTTGGATGCAAGGCCCAGGCATGAGGCACATGAAGGCCCAGTTCTCGGGGCCCTTGAAGAAGTTAGCTACCGAGCCGATCAACCTGGACCGAACCCAATTGAGGTTGGACGTGGGACTGGTCACCGGGCACTGGCACACAGGTAAACATTTTACGCGACTGGGCCTAGTATAAGCCTCGGTCTGCAGCAGGTGCGGCGAGGGGGAGGATACCCCCTCCTTCTCATAACTTAATGCGTTGGGCTTACGGGCGTTAGAAATAATGTCCTTGGGACCACCGCCAACAGTATTTTCGACCTGGTAGTCTCGGGGGCGACCGGACTACTGTGCTTCGCACGGGAGACGGGACTACACGTAGGACCACTACGATGATAGGTTTTTCTCCACAAGAAGCCCTGGCACAATAGTCCAAAGATTGAGCGCCCGGGTTAAAAACCCCACGAAAAAAAAACAAACAACAATTATTCGTATTATTAATTTATTGCTGTTATTGTTCGTATCCCGGTCTAATTAACAATGACTAGGTTTAAACTGTGTTTGTATATGTTCCTTTACAAGATGAACTAGTAAACAAGCGGTTGTAATGCTAAAGAATTTATTGCTGTTATTAGTATTAGTTTCATATTAAGCGATAGAATATTAACTCATAGATAAACAATACATCATTCGAATGTCACTAACCTTAGTTTAACCCAACTTTTTTACATTTCTAAACATTTTTTTCGCTTTATTATAATAAGTTCAATAATAATTATACAGTTCAATAATTATTGAACATTCCTAATTTGATTGAATTATTTCGATTATTACAAAAACTAATTTTATGTTTTGTTTTATAGATAAAAATTTTGCTTGTGTATATCTTACAAATAAAAATACATATGTGGAAGTGCCAAG